CTTCCATACTCTGGTTCTTAAGGTCCCTGAGTTTATACTAATGAACTAACTCATCCTTAGATTCTTAGGACTGATCTTTAAACAATTTAGTCCAATATCCACAATTGATAAAGGCAAAATTGAAACAGTGTTACATTTTATTTAGTGGCCAAATTATAATCAGAACAAGTTTTCCCATTTTATAATCTGTTTGCAGAATGTAGCTTTTCAAAATGGTGATGTATTTAGAATTTGTTACGGTTTTCTTTTGTGGTTTTGTTTGTTTATTTTGCCTACCTTTGTTGCTTTTAGTCCAGGTTACAGCCTCATTAAAATGTGCGTCGCCTCCAATTTTAGGTCCAGGGCCAAAAGCATGAGCTAAGACTCTAGCTGTGCCATCAAAAGGATATCCATCTCCATGAGCTTTTTACAAAGGAAAGAAAATTAGACCTTCTATACATGCTATATAGGTTATGCCAAATGATACAGATGAAATAAATCCAAATTCTCTACCTCTACGTGCAAAAAGTATCATAATGTCAGCCTCGCCTGCATAAATCTTTCTGAATTTCAGAGGGGTCACATCACTCCATACTTGAAAAGCTTTCTGGATGACATAGTTAATATCCTCACGCTTCATGTCAGGAGAATAATTTTTTATTCTTTACCAGCAAAACAGAAGAGAGAAAATATATGGAAACAATGTGTTAATTTTGTCTCATTATGATACTTTATTTCTGCTAACATCATTAGAGAATGAATTACTTCATAAATTAATTTGTCCAGATAGAATACATGCTTCTTATACTACAGAAACATTTATCCTTGGACAGCTTCCTCCTTAAAGAGAATCTAACTTGATTTCACCATTGTGAAAGATTTACATTCATAGAAGCTTATGCCTTTTGACCCCGCTCCCCCTGTATTTCTGCATTTATCCATCTTGACTGTTCTATAAAACTTTCTCTTCTGTCTTGTTTATTGTAGATTTAGGTTCATTCTCCTTTTGTTTGCAGCCTTCCTACTCTGGTCTGGAATAGCAAGCCAAACAATCTCTGAGTGAACAATCCCCCCTTCCAGAGATAATTAATTTTGACAAAGGAATAGTGTTAACAATTTAGGGAAGCTTCTTATCTACTTTCAGATTTAGGGCTATATCTAAATGGTTCTGGTTTCTAGAAGTCAGACCTCTGGGAAAGTAGAAAAATACACGACTATGATGTTACCTGTAGGTGATAAGACGTTTCTTCCATACTGGCCTCCCTGGCAGAGCCCGAAAATGATGCACATCAGGCACTCCACATCGAGGTGTGTGCATCATGTCCAGAGTAGATGTGTCCAGTTGCCCAGTCACTTTTAGTCCCAAGAATTGCTGCATTTCTTGAATTTTATTCTCCATGTAGTTATTATTGACTTTCATTTTTATGCTTGGACTTTCCTTCAACGTGAAGTCATAATAGTTGGTCAAGTACCTCTGGAAAAAAATACATTCAGTAATATGTTATTTTACATGGAAACATTTCTGTTGGAGCTCTGCATTTATAACCCAAGTGCACACTGATGTTTTTGAACCAGGTGTTGGACAATTAATTATAATGAGAAAAAATATTTTAATTTCCAGTGTTGTTAAAGATGCATCATAAACAATTAACAAGATTGATTTCTGGAAGCCCACTGAAAACACTTTTATGTCTCTACCTCTTCAAATTTGCTTTTACTTTTTAAAACCTATCTCAGCATCGAGCTTATCATGGCATTCGGTAAGCAGCAAACCTTTATTGTCAGGATGCATACATAATTTAAGTTGGAATAAAGTTTTCTTGCTTAAAAATTCAAAGCTCAACTCAATGGACAACTATGACAAATTCAAGATTAAAACAATCTTAGAAAATGGGGATATCATCTGAACTCATATAATTAGGGAAAAACAAATTGAAAAATTCTATTTTAAAAAAANCTTGATGTAGACTCAATAGCAAAGTTGGAATTACCTTTAAAAAGAAAAACTTGTTTCCTGGTTTCAATTTCATAAGCGGCTTGAATACCAGATGATAAGGTTGGCCATAAAGAAGAAATTAAACTGACACCACTCTTTGGACCCTCAGGAAGCTTCGACCAGAAGAACCTGACATGTAAAACATTTAACATGTTAAAAATCATTGTAGACTCAAGAACCGTGAAATGTGAGTGGGAAGGACCTATGAAATGCCTGAATGTTCTTTTCCGTTATCTTCACATTCTATTCCATGGATGCCTATGTAGAAGCACCACAAGGAAAGGATCTTAATCAGCTCTTTGATAATAGCAATTGTCTTAACAGGCAAACTGGTATATAGAAACACCCTGGAGCTTGGAATCAAAGGATCTAGGATTTAGTCTGGCCCCACAATCCATTCACCAGTTTTGTCATCTAAAGGATGTCACTTATCCTCAAATGTCTCAAGTTTCTGAATCTCAAAACTGAAGGATATTTTTCCTCCCTACCAAATACTAATCTTCTATACTCCCCTACATCTCCAATATCTGCTTCAATCTGTGTTGTAAGATAGAAACCATAAGTCACCCTAGAATTCTCTTCTCTGTAATAAAAAATCAAGTCCTTTAAATAGATACTCTGTCACAGCTTTAGTTGCAGACTTCACCATTCTCATCTAGGATTAAAATAGTCTGGCTTCTCTGTTTCTTGTCTTATCTTTCCCCAACCTAGATTCTTTTTTTCTTTTTTCTTTTTTTTTTTACAAGCCAGCTTTCTAGTTAAGACATAAATATAATCATATTACTCTCTTGCGTCAAAATCTTCAAGTGTCTTCACTGTCAATGGATTCAAGTCCAAGTTCCTTCTCACAATTTTCATCTACTTCATATTCCATCATTACTACCATTCTCTGACAAACCCCCTCCCCCCAAAAAACACACCCCAGGACAGAGCCTTTAAAATTGGTCAGATATGAAAATGATCCTACCGGTCTTTAAAGAAATAGATTTTTTCTCCCACTGTAGTGATAGCATCAAAACTCAAATTGGGGTCACAGGTAGCTGATCCTGTATTGTTAGAATTTGATGAGGATGAGTGCTTTTCTGGACGTCCTGAAAATACATTCAAGAAGCATTAGAAAAAAGAAACTGCATTTTACTTCATAAGAGGAAGAATTATTCTTTTAAAAAATATTTAATTTTCTTGATAAAAAATGCATAAAAGCAATTTAAGCTTTTTATAACATTTATACGAATAGAAAGCACATATTAAAGGTATTTTTCTCCAATGTGGTTGCAACATCATGGAGGAAAAAACCTTCACTCTGGTTTTCCTGTTCCAGTTATATTATTTCTCTGTGTGTCTTCTTCAATAAACAATGCTATATTGGAAAAAAAAAAAAAAAGATTTGAGGCCAAAAGCTCAGTTTCTTTCTCTGACTCTGGTATTAACATATTAGGTTTCTTATGCTCATCTGTAAAAATGAAGATGATATCTTTGCCTCTTACCTCACAAAATTTGCATGGGGTTCAAAAGAGAAGATAGTTAAAAGTTTTATCCAAATGCAGATATCATGAAATGATTCATAAGAGTGAGCATCTTTATAAGGCAAAATGGTAAAGAAATTCAACTCACCATAGAGAGACTGAATGCCACGCCTGTCATCAGCAGAGAGGGGAAATGTGTTGGGGTTCACATATCTGTAGAAGGGGAACATTATGGCCTTTCGATCTCTGGAATGGTCAAGTCCCAAGGAATGGCCAATCTCATGAACAGCAACTAGGAACAAGTTGGTGCCTTAGAGGAAACCAACCAGAAGGAGAGAAAAGAGCAGTGAAATATATTGGCATCTAGGAGACAATGACACAACTGAAATTCGACACAATGAAAAGGGAAACCTTTAGGAATCCTTTACTTGGTTCCTCTCCTTCTAGCACGAGGTTTTTCCACCTTGGCATTATAGGCCAAATAATTTTTTGTTATAGATGTTTAGAAATCTCTGGTTTACCATTAAATTCAAGTAGCAAACCCCTCTTCAGTTTTATAACCAAAAATGTCTCCACACGATGTCAAAGCAAAATTCCCTCTGGTTAAGGCTCACTGCCCTATCATACAAATAAAATATATTCTGTTGTGAAAATTTCTAGAATAATTCATAAGTGTCCAATAGTTCTCATTGTCTTTAAATCATTCCCACTACATTATTCTTTTATTCTTGATCAGGCTTGAGTGGATATAGAAAAGTATTTAGTAACCATTTCTTACTAAGACCCAAATATAAGGCCATATTAAGTTACAAGTACTATGAGTCACTGAGAAATATACCACATATGTCTAATCTTTATACAACTGAAAGGGAGTCACCATGCTCTCTATTTACAGATGAGGACACAGCATCAGGAAGATTAATTGACAAAATTAAGTGCTGACCCAAGATTCAAATCCAAATTTCTTGGCTCTACAGCTCATCCTTTTACTATGTGGGATTCTAAATGAAATCAAAGAGATTATGCTTACAATTTAGACATATTTACACTGCCAAGTTCTAGTCATACCTGTTCATTTTTTTTCTGTATGTCCTAGAGAACGTACCTTTGTAAGTAAGAGAGAGGGGTGTGTCCTTTCTCTCAAGTTTCTCAATTCCCAGAAGAGTTGGATAGCTCCTGACTGTAATTTTTTTACCTGTATTTTAGTCTAATGTCTTCATTTTTGTCTTTCTTTTTCTATGGCAAAACTGAAGCTCAGAACTGACTTGCCTAGGGTCACACTCTATCTACTTAGCTACAGAGGTTGGCCTTGAAATACTCTCTGGTACCCAAGTATGAAGACAGAGTCTACACCTCTGTCTTGGGGGTATCTAGGAATACTCCCTGTAACACAGGGGTTCAGCAACTAACTCAGAGAAGCTTTCAGTTCTCTCAAATATTGAGAAAGAAGCAAACATTCTGTCATTCTCTCCACTCTGTGTAACATGAGAAGAGTAAACAAAGCCTTTTATAATGTGGCCTAAACCTGAATTTATCTTATTCCCAATTCCTAAAATCCTTTGTACCAAAGGCCACCATTGGTTCTCATCTGAAAACAATGTATTTCTGTTTATGTTCTGTTTCTCACTAGACTGTGTGCTCCTCCAGGTCAGGACATGTCCTTTACCTGTTTGTATCCAAACACCCCCATCCCATCACCTAACATCATAATTGAAACTCAATAACCATTGAGCTAATTGTTCACTTAATTTACAGTGTCAAAAAATTAAGCTGAGAATTAGTATTTTAAGTTAGAATTTACATAAATAATTTAGCTTTTTGAGAACATAGAATGGAGCCAATTAAAAATAAGGCAACATTGACAGGTAGAAAGTACACACTGGGCTAAGATAAGAGGTAGGAAATGCACATTCTGGTCCCAGCTTTTCCAAAAGCTAGCTATTAACTATCTCTTGGTCTCAATATCCTCTATCTATAAAGAACTGTATTAAATCATTTTTCTAAGGTGCTATAGAATTCCAAAGTATGTCAGATAGAAAGATTATAAACCCCAAATAACCTTGGAAAAAATTTAGACAAATTTGACATGTCTAGATGGATTTTCAGTTCAGCAAAAACCTAATCTTACATCATTTGTGCTTTGACAATGCAGAAATCCCCTTCTCAAGAATTCTATAAGCCTTAGGCCATGTGTCAGACTAAAGCAAATAGTCTTTCTGGTCTGTAGAATATTGCCATCCAATGTCAGCCAGAGAGAGGGGGATGCTTATTAAGGCATGTTCTTGATGATGTACTTTTCATTTACTTTCCACATGAGTCAGTCACATAATCTAGGATTTCCAATAGAAAGATTAGGAAGGCTTCTGATATAATGGTTTAAATTTCCAATGGATAGTGATTCCTCAAACAGGGGAAACTAACTATCTCCATCTTCCAACTCTCTGAGAGGGATGGTGAGTTACAGCCCCTCTGTAAATGCACACAAGGAATTAGTAAATGATCAGTTGGGAATTCTGAAATATTTACCCCAGGACCACAAGAGACTACATGACCATATAACCCTGTGTTTCTCTAGAAGGATCTCTAAATTCTCTACAGCATCATCTTTCTGTGTCATTATGAATCTAAGAAATTATCAACATTTAATGAATCATGAAGATGACTACACTATCCTAGGATTTTTAGCATACACAGAATTAGTACCTGTGTTTGCCAAGTTTACGGATTGCATTGTTAAAATTAATCACCTATCAGCGGTTCTCAACCTTTCTCGCCTAAGACCATCGGAAAACACATATTTTCGATGGTCTTAGGAACCGAGACACC